ACCATATCATTATCATATCCCAAGGTCATTAGCCCCTTAATCTTTTTTTTTTTAAGTGTGGCTCATAGTAGCAAAAACATTATTCTCTTTAGTTCAACTATTTTAATCAGGAAGATAAAGTAACCCAAATGCTTAATTCTCTTTGTTTCTCATCCCTAGTTCTTGCAACAGAATCATATTTTTACACTTTTTATTATTAAAACGTTTAGACGATTGATTTTAATTCCATTTAATTTATTTTGCATTCTGGAAATCAAGTTTGTTTCATTGCTCTATATAGTACCAACAAAGTAATAGCTATGAACCAGAAGTCAATGATGATCATGTTCCCCCTTCCCCCTCCCACCCCATTATCCACAGGATTCCCATCTTGGTGTCTTCCAGATGTGTTGAATTAGCCAAGAATTGTTGTGTTGACTATGAGATCTGCAAAGTATGAAGTCACTTTACAATTTCTCTAACTGGATGAGTTTCTACAGTATATCCATTTAAAGAATTTGAGGAATCTTTTAAGAGAGTTGAAAATACCCTGGTTCAATTCATAAGGCAGCTTTTTAAAACTTTTATATTATATTTAGGAATATTGATCATTTTTCCTAAAACATAGATTTGCCTTAGCTTTTAAAAACACATTAATGATCTATTGGTGTTCAGTTAAGTTATTATTTCCAAATATTTGATTCTTTCATTTAAAAATAAAATTTTCTCTTTGATCAACTAATCTTTGAGGCACCTTATAAAGACTACAACAATAAAAGGATAAAATAGAAAGCAAAGAAGGCAAGTGATAGTAGTATAATAAGAGATGCAACTCTGTTTTATTAAACGTTTTAACAAATGAAATAAGTTTTACCTATTGCTTACGAGAAACAAAAAACAAAATTTTATCACACGAATAGGTTTGGGGATTATGTTCCATTGTTAGAATGCAGCATCAGAAAAATACAGGCTTCTATTGAGTATTTGATATATGCTGCAGTGTGACAAAGAAGGTAATTCTTATCATTCTCTAGTCCCAACCTCAAAAACAGGATTTTAAATAGTCATCTAGAAACAAACTGTCAAGAACTCTTGTTGGTCTGAAGAAAATATGCATTAGAACAGGGATGTCAAACTCAATTTCATTGAGGGCCACACCAGGGTTGTGTTTGACCGCGGGGGGGGGGATTGACGTCATTTGGCCTGCCCGGGCTCCATTTTTGGCCGCAACAGTCTCCCGCACCGAAAGTGAAAATGGAGCTTGGGTGCCCACTCAGGATCCATTTTCTCTGGCAGAGGGCTGCAGGAGGTTGTCGCGGCCAAAAATGGAGCCTCTGAGGGCTGCGCATGGCCCTCCCAAGCTCCGTTTTTGCTTGCAGAGGCATCGTGGAGTGCTCATTCGCTGTTTCCAGGGCAGCCCTGTGGGCCAGATCTAAACACCCTGTGGGCCTTGAGTTTGACACCCCTGCATTAGAAGAAAATAAAGGCTGCCCCACTCAGAAGTTGGCCCTTAGTGCCTCCTGGAACTGCCAGCATAATTGTTTCCCATAAAGATATGGACCTGCCCTATACAAATGCCCTATACAAATGGTACAGGATAAAGAAAAATCAAGACAGTGACCACACTCATGAGATGGAAGCCCAACCGCCTTTTTATATGCAGCGCAATATCATTTTCACAAGAGTATTGCCAGTCCAGGACTCCCATTCCTGTTTGTTGCATAATTCTCTATTTTTTTGTTAAAGCTCATGCTGTTTTATTTACTATTTCTCTTATTAAAATCATTTTTAATGTTATTTTTGTCTTTCAAGGAATTAGCTACCCCAGTGCCCCACCCAACGTTGTATCATATGCAAACTGAATAAGCATTCCCTCTACTTCTTCCCACTTGTCATTAATAAAAATGAAAAATAAAGAACCCCGGACTGAATTTCATTGCATATCACTAATGAGCAATAGATATACTATAATTTTTGAAACAGTTTTGTATCCACTTAATTGCCATGCCATCCAGCTTCATGTTTAATTAGAAATTCGAAAGTCATGAAGTACTTTGTCAAATCAAAATATAATATATATTCCATCATATATTAAGGAAGTTAACTTATTTTTGAAAAAGGAGTAAGATTATTCTATCAAGACAGATGAATCCATGCTGATTTTTGGTAATTACTCCATTGTTTTCAAAGTACTTAAAGACATTTTATGATTGTCTTGAAACTGACCAGCCTGTTTTATATCTCTTTGTTAAAGGGAATAAAGAAAAGCATTTTAGTTGTCCAGTCATCTCTTACCTATTTGTTATTTCCAAAAATAATATGTCTATATTACCTGGCCTATCACTCACTGGAACATTGTTTATGGTAAGGCAGAATGGGAAGATTCTGCCTAAGCAGGGGGTTTGACCAGAAGACCTCCAAGGTCCCTTCCAACTTTGTTGTTCTGTTCTGTTCTGTTCTGTTCTGTTCCGTTCCGTTCCGTTCCGTTCCGTTCTGTAAGATAAATGGCCCACTTTTTTCCCATCAAATTTGAGCCATATTGTGGACAGTGTGTAGATTGTGACACATTTTATACAGCTGCTTTCAAAGACACAAGGACTTTAGAATAAGCTCTGTATAAATTTTTAGGAACTGTGCTACAGTGGAGTCCTTGGTGCTCTCTGAACTTGACTGTTTTCTTGCAGGCGTTTCATTGCACTGATGATGCTACCTAGTTTGGTAATGAAATGTCTGCAAGAAAACAATCAAGTTCAGAGAGCACCAAGGACCTCACAGTTCAACCCTTGAGCTACATATATTCTCTTCTATAGGATCTGTATTACAACTTGCTTTTTGTATGTGAAAGGCTGTTTCTCAACTAGAAGTCAGCTCTGTCTCTACTAATGCTTGTCTGAGATTCTGCTGATTAAAATTTTAGCTAAAGCTAGCCTTTCTGGATGAATCCTCAACCAAGTTAATTCTCACTGATAAGTTTGTTTCTTCTTGAAGGAAGGGCATAGTCTTAATCTGAGTCATTGGAGCTCAGTTGTTGACATATTGGAGTTCTTGAGATATTGGAGCAGGAAAATTTTATTTTATTTTATTTGATCATATCTTATTTTATTTGACTACTGGTAAGTGTCTGGAAAAATCCCTGAAGTTTTCTTGACGAGGTTTTTTGAAAGTGGTTTGTTCTTGCTTGTTTCCTAAGACTTGAGAATGAGTAAGTGGCCCAAGGTTCCCCAGCTTGCTTCATGTCTGGGGCTAAAACTCATCGTCTCTTGGTTTTTAGTTTGATGCCTTAACCCAGTGATGGCTAACCTTTTTGCTGTTGCATGCCAAAAGCGGGGGGGAGTGGGGGATGTTGCGTGTGCGCATGCCCACACCCATAATGCAATGCCCCCGCATACCATGCCCCCCCGTGCATGCATATGTGACCCCCACACGGCCTGTTTTGGGCCTGGCAGGCCTCCCTGAAGCCCCCTGGGACCAAAAATGGGCCACAGAGGGGCGCATGCATGCGAGACCCCCCACCCACTGCGCATGCATACAAGACACCCTCCCACCCTTGCGCATGTGCATGAGACCTCCGTGCATGCACTCACGTCTCCCGCATGCATCCTGCCCCCGTGCCAGAGACCCGAAAATCAGCTGGCTGGCAGGAGGCACGCGCACATGCACGGTGGAGCTAACTGGGCGACGGCTCGTGTGCCTGCAGAGAGGGCTCCGCTTACCATCTGTGGCACGCGTGCCATAAGTTCACCATCACGGCCTTAACCACTACACCAAACTGACTTTCCCATCAATATTAGCAAGATATTTTGAAAACATATTCCATAGAAATTACTTCTTATCTATATGAACACTATTAAGGATAAAAATACAACTTCAGCAACAGAGTGGTCATTGCCTGGAATGCTCTACCTGACTCCATTGTTACAGCCTCAAACCCTCACAGTTTCAATCTCAAACTGTCTACCGTGGGCCTCACCCCATTCCTAAGAGATCGCTAAGGGGGGTGTGCATAAGTGAACCAGTGTGCCTACCATCCCTGTCTTACTGTCCCCATTTATCTGTATTTACTTACTTTGTTTATGTTTATGTTCATACCTGTACTTATTATCTTGTACATGTTTGACAAACAAATAAAATAAATAATAAATAAAATAAAAATCTTCCTGCACAGAATCTTTGATATCTAGGCATGTTTGTATTGCCTTACTGCTGACATTAACTTATATGTTATATGTTTAGAAAAACAGTAAGGAGAGCCATGTAACTTCTTCATTAGCCTGAAAAAATAGCACCCTCTTCAATATTGACTTTTCTCGTATGATCTTACTTGCCTGCTGAGGTATTGTTCAGAGCCATCTCTATAATAATAGATAATAGTAGGTGACCTGATATCCTCTGGATCCTTTGATATCAAATTGTCATCTATTTCCACAATTTCTTCAGCTCTATGGACAAGAGATTGTAGATGCTAAAGCTCAAAACTTCTGGAGAACAGAAAGTCAGTTGCTCCTATTCTATGTTTCTACAACTCCTGAAATATGAGTGATTGGAATTAGTTAGAGGTTATATCAACATTACCTGCTAAAATGAGGCAGGTGAGATACTTTGTACTTTATAATATAGAGAGATAATCCCTTAATTACTCAGGATTTAAATTCATGAATTTTCTAGAGTTCTTTGAAGAAAAAGAAGGATGAAAGTGTATTAAAACAGATAAAATAAAAATATTTGCCCAGCAGATGCTTAGGATGAGTCAAATAAATGATGATTCAGTTTTCTCCACAAAAATAGCTTGCTGACAAAATTCATCTGTAGCTGTTCTCAGATCAGACCTTTGGCAATGCCATTCATTTGTAATGGTCAGTAAACTTTGTAGCCTGGAGGGTATTGCAGCCAGAGGCTGCAGAACTGAATCAAATCTGAATTAGTTTCTTTCTAGAAGTTGAACAAAGAGTATTCCGTCTGTTGCAAAATGTCAGATAATGCTGCTCCATTTTTAATCTTCTTTTTTGCTAATGCTTGCTTAGCTTTCAGGGGATATTTAACACGCAAAAATTATAGAAGATGGAAGAATAGTATTGGCTATCAAACAGATGTGGAATCAGTGGACTTTGTTTCCAGTCTCAGATATGAAGAAAATGGGTAAGTTTTAATTATTCTGTTGAAAAAGAATCTAGAGAGAAAGTATGTAGTGGGAGACATTTTGTTCACTAAATACTAGTTACCTTGCTGGTGAGTACAACTCAGGGTAGGTCCTGAGCAACTATATTCATCATGAGCTGCAATCAGGTACTGTTTTTGAAGGAAGCATCTATTCATGCAAGTTTGTGAATATGATTTGTAGCATTCATATGTCAACAGCTTAGTTTTATACTTTAGATAATTGATCTATGTATTTTTATTATAATCACTGGCTAGTCAAAACTAAGTACAGTATGTATTGTAATAAACAATAATAAAAGCCATCTTGGCAATATCCTGTTAAAAGCTCAGGATCTAAATCACTTAAGATCTTTAACCTGATTCTTGAAATGCCGTTTGGTGGACTCAACAAGCCATTGCACAAAATTTGCCAGCATTAAGAGTAACAGCTGTATGCGTTCTATCAATGAAAAAGAAGTGTAAATACATTCAATCTTCCTGATCTATGAGTTAAAAATGGAATATGAGAGGCAGAAAGAATTCCACTGAAAAGAGCCAAATTGTTGTGGTCCGCCGGCAGCCTGCAGAGCTGGCAGCAGAGTCAGACAGTGAGGAGGTTGGGGAGGAACATGGGCCAGTCCCGGAGTCTGGGGAAGGCTCGGACGAGGGCTCTGCGTCGGAGACAGAGAAAGAGCCATCTGGGAGGTACGTGCTGCCTCCGGAGCCTCCAGAATTGGACCTCAGCAAGGCAGAGGAACTGGGGGAGCCTGTTCCCAGTGCGCGCATGCACAGAGCTGCCAGAAGGCAAGAACAGTTAAAACAAAAGGGACAATTGGGAGTAGGGCTTGGAGATGATTGGCCCCTCCCATAAGACTGAAAAGAAGAGCAAAGGCACGTGGGCCTTTGCAGGAAACAACATTGTTAATTCTGTTTAGTTTAAAGTCTGAAGCTCTGTTTGTTTCTGGACTCTGTGTGGCTTTGCCAATTAGGTCTTTGGCAGCGTGTCAAGGGAGATAAAGGTGGGTGCTTATCAGCCTTATCCCGAAGGACTCTTTACAACTATTTGGGACTCATCTGTGAATGAACAGAATTTACAGCTGCTGCAATAAAAGAGGTTTTTGGGACTACTGGTGTGTTTTACTGACTCAGGAAGCCTAGGTCAGAACACATATGTAGAACATGAGCCACAGTCTACACCTCACTTGAGCCAAAGAGTAGCTCTGGTCTCCCATAGGAATGTTAGGAAGATTATCCTTCAAGACTGCCAGAGGCAAAACATTAAAGCAATGTGCTCTAGTTTATCATTAGATGGTATAATTCTTTCTCCTTGAGAAAAATTATGTGGTAAGTAACTTGTCATCAGCCTTTTATTCCTTGAAGATTGGAGAATGTAAAAATTCTTCTTCAGCACTCTGTCAAATGTTTCCTCCAAAGCCTGAGCTTGAAATCTTCCCTTAATTTCATCTTAAAAGATGAAAAAACACTTTTACCAAATGGTCTTCAGGCAAGCTGTTTCCAAGCTGCTTCTCCTGTGGATCAGTCAAATCTCACCATTTTCTGGGTCAGACTGTATATTCTAATGATACTCTATAGCATACAGTTGGGCCAAGACATATGGTAAGCAGTATATAAATTATGATCTCTGCCTAGAGCTGGTACTGTACCATGGAAATTAATCTTTCCATTAGGGAATGCAGCTTTTAAACAGGCCTCAAAAAACTTGGTTTTTATTTTGTCTCCTCTCAGTTTCCACACACCAAATCTATGCCTGGATCACATATTTTTTCTGGTTGCTTCTTAAACCTTATAGAACAGTAGCAAATTTCATATTATGCATTTGCCTCTAACCCAGGATAGAATGCAGTGAAGTGTTTTTATAAACAGAAGCAATTTCTGCTCAATGAACATGAGGCAGTTAATTCTTCCAGTCCCCTTTTCTCAGGGTACCTTCAAAATTTATCCCAGCAGGTGGATCTTGAGCATGTGCAATGAGGAAAAGTAAAGTTCCAATGCCTGGAAAAGATATGGCAGCGAAACAATTATTGGAGTCTCCTTACAGATATTTAAACAAATCTCTTGTCAGACAAATAACGCAGCAGTAGGTTCTCCCGTTTATCTCAATCCCTCCTTTTTCTGGACATCTATGGAAGCATCTTTTCCTGTAAAAAGCTTAGAAAATGTATTTGCCTACTATTATTCTTCTCATCCTTCCTATTACCTATCTCCTCCCACTTATGACTATATAACCTTGTTGCTTGTATCTTTACGATTTATATTGTTTTGTTTCCTAGTATGATTTGATTGCTTATTAGTAACCTATGACTATCACTAAGTGTTGTATCTTATGATTCTTGATGAATGTATTTTTTTCTTTTTATGTACACTGCGAGCATATGCACCAAAGAAAAATTCCTTGTGTGTCCAATTACACTTGGCCAATAAAGAATTCTATTCTATTCTATTCTATTCTATTCTATTCTATTCTATTCTATTCTATTCTATCCTATCCTATCCTATCCTATCCTATCCTATCCTATTCCTATTCTATTCTATTCTATTCTATTCTATTCTATTCTATTTTCTATCCTATCCTATCCTATCCTATCCTATCCTATCCCATCCCATCCCATCCCATCCCATCCCATCCCATCCCATTCTATTCATGGCAATATTAAACGTGAGTGTAACTTAATTTGGGTTTACTCACTGACAAGAGGGGAGTAGGACTATAAAGATAAATAATATGAGCAGAAGCCGAAAATACATATTACATTTGCAACTTTTTGTCAGCTTCTGAAAGACAACAAACATTGCTTTATCTCCATCTTCTCCCATTTTCTGCCCAGCAAAGTACAATATATTACCAAAATATTACCTGTGGCATGCCTCAGGTATTTACCAAAGAGAGTTAGGCTTATGCACAAATCTCTCTACTATACTCCTAGCCATCTCTCAGGCAAATAATAAATGTCTGAACTTCTAGGTGCAAAGGGAATCATTTTTAGTAGGACATAATTAGCAAATTCATTTTAACAGTGTCACGTTACCTTTGCCCTTGAGTGGCTGCAAAAAGATTGCAATTTTAGCCACAGGAGGAAATTTTCCATTGATTAAATTGAGCATCAAAGGGGCATGTGCCCCTTTGAAACCCTCCCTGGGTGGAAAACTAAACAGTCTGAAAGGAACAGCATGAAGCTGTCAGTTCACTGGGACTCAGACTGTTTTGAAACAGGAAATCTGTAAGAGTTAGTGATACGGATTGGCAGCTATTTGAGCTTTATTTCAGAATCTTGGTGTGGTCCCTACAAAAGTTGTAACCAGAGTGTAATTATCCTGAGCCAAAATGGGGTAATTTATTAGAGACATGATTGGAAAACAATCCTATTAATTTTATTGAAAATAATGGTAATCCAGTCAAAACTCCTGGCATTATTCATTCATTTTTGACAATCTAAATTGTCAATTCATCTCCTTACAATCTACTGTAAATTGATTTAACCCAAGGAACAAAACAGGAAGAATCCTGATGAACAGAAGGATTAGAAGGAAAGTTAGAGTTGCCAAATAAGAATTCTAGCAAATTCTAGCCAATATTGTACTTTCAGATAGGGAAATTTATAGGTAGTTGCCAAAACTCTCTTCCATTTCCTTGTGTGTGTTGTTGTATTCCTTTGCTGCGGAAAGGAGGTTCTTGCGTTTTGCATGAAGGCAAGGCAATCTGCATTTATCCATTGTTTTGGTATCTGCTATTCCCTTTATCAGTATGAGAAATATCTCATACAGATGTTACCATGATATTGGTACTTTATTCACCATTAATTTGCCTCATTCCTTTAAAACTTGTCCAGGCTGTTCTTCTATGTGTAAGCAACTTCATCCCATAGCTATTTATTATTCTTCAATCTTTTTATATCATGAATATATCCATCAATAAATTGTCTCTGCGATATATGTGAGGCCTAGGGCTTTGCTTGGTAGCATGTTAGTTTCCCATTTATTATTTTAAAAATAAAAATAAGTGAGAAGCAGACATATCTTGGCAGGCATATTATTATTTCGGACACCTTGGGAACAACGAACAAGGCATTCCTTTTATATCTCCCACAATTTAACTTCATGACTTAACTTCAGATTCAAGTCTAATTAAAGAGAAAATAATTTTCCTGTTTACTGTCTCTGCACCAGGCATAATTTTGCACCCTTCTATAATTCTCCTGTCCCCCCTTGCCAATTTTTCTAACCAGAAACACTAAATATTGTTAACATTTAGCAATAGCAATAGGTCTTAGAGTTATATACCACTTCATAGTACTTTGCAGTACTCTCTGAGCAGTTTACAGAGTTAGCATATTGCTCCCAACAATCTGAGTCCTCATTTTACCGATCTCGGAAGAATAGAAAGCTGAATCAACCTTGAGCCCCTTCAGGATTGAACTCCCGGCTGTGGGCAGAGTTTGTCTGCAATACTGCGTTGTCCCCGCTGCGTCACCGGGGGCCTTTTTAGTTAATGATTACACCTTTAGATAATACCTTTAGATTACCTATTCAGAAATTTTCTGAATGGTGTAGATTAGAAGAAATGTTAAATTAGTGAAACCATGAATTATTATTCATGCACTAGAACTAAAACAAGAAGCAAGAAATACCACAGCACAGCACATATACTTCACATAAAACCAGCAGCAAAATTAAATAATGTAAAGTTTCTGAAAGAACTAAAATGCCAAGAAATAAAAAGTTCTTTCCCTTGGCACTGAAAAAAGTATAAAAGAGGAATCTTTGGGGATGATATTCTCCAAGAGGAGGCACCACCAATGAAAGAATTACAAGTTTTTAGTCACCTCCCATCTTGTTATATGAAGGAAAATCAGTAAATAAAGCTTTGTTTTCCATTCTATTATTATATTAGCAGTACTTCTTGTTGTGGCTTTTCAATTTGTGTTATATTTGACAGCAATATGTGTATGTATATAATCTGATAAAGCTTACATCTCTTACAA